GGGGGGGGGCTCTGGGGGCATCTCGGAGCGTCGGAAGCCCGAACATGCGAACACGCGAACAACATCGAGACAACGCAAGGACAATCAATGATGGTTGCCTCTTTGGGCCCTCTTGGGGGTCCTCTGGGAACGCTCTTGGGGCTTCTTTGAGGCCTCTTGGGCCGTCTTGGGGCCGTCTTGGGTGTCTTGGAGCATCTTGGGCTGTCTTCGAGGCCTCTTGGACCCTCTTGGGCGCTTTATGGGGTCCTCTTGGCCCGTGTTGGGGCCCTCTGGCCTCTGGAAAAGTCATGCGAGGCAGTCCAGGAAAGCGCGGGAACGCCCAGGAAATTTGAGAATCTGAACCCCAGGCCGTTATAATAATATGAATTCAGGGTCCAGAGTACAGAGAACAGAGGACACATGAGAGCCGGGAGAAACTTTTACTTCGCGCCTCGCCGCACGGTGGCTGATACACACAGATGTGTGTATGTGTATATATATATATGTATATATATGAATATGTATACATGTTTAGACATATGTACCAGTGCGAATCTATGAACCCATGTGTATATATATATATACGTAGAATAACATTACCCAGCGTATGGTGTGTAGGTGCCACGCAAGTACAAGTACTGCGCTGCATGTGGGCGCACGCTATTCCTGTGCGCGTGCGTGGCAATGCATGGGTTCACGCGCCGCGTCGCCCCAGTGGGGGAGTCGGCAGCCCACGCGCCCCATCGCCCCAAGGGGCGGGCGTGTCCAGGGGGCGCCCTTGAAGAGGGAGGCCGGCAGCTCACGTGCCGCGTCGCCCGAGGGGGTGGGCGTGATTCGGGCGCCCTCCCCCTCGGGCGACGCGGCACGCAACGAACCCACAAGGACCACGCGGACCCGCAAGCAGCCCACGAGGAGCCCACAAAGGGCACAAAGAACCCTCAAGCACCATCATGGCCCACAAAGTCAACAAGGAACCCGCAAGACGCCACAAGGACCACAAGGACCCGCAAAGAGTCCACCTTCATGGAGTTATAGCTGCAAGGCGCTACGCGCTTGGCAGTCTGGATAGTCAAGGCGCTACGCGCTTGGCAACTTGGATATTCGAGGCGCTGCGCGTTTGGCAGTCTCTGTGTTGAAGGCGCTACGCGCCTGGCAACTTGGACATTCAAGGCGCTACGCGACCGGCACTCTGGACACGCCCCTGCCCGCCGACACCCCATTCGGCCTCGCCCGGGCATGGTCGCACCCCCGAAAAGGCCCTCTGGCGAGAACCTGAGCACGCGCGCAGCGCGCGAAGGTTCCGTCTGCCGAAGGGCTGTGTTCGCGCATGCCCTCGGCCACCGGACCCTCTGCCATCTCTCCCTTGCCCCGTCTCGCGCTCGCGCTTGTCCCTCCCCCATGAATCAGCCGTGCCCGTCGTTCCTCCATATCCGCATCGTTGCGACCCCTCTTTCTGGCTCCCACACTGGCGCTTAATATTTGTATGTAGTCACGCCTGGATCCATATCCATATATCGATTTGTTTGTTTGTTCCCTACCTGGGCTCTGCCTAGAAGGGTTCTTACCCTCTTAGCTTAAAGGGCCGGGCAGTGGATAACGCCCCAGGCGGTTCCCCCGGCATCCGCCCCGCGGTTCCCCCAGTTACGTCTCCTTAGCTTAGCGTTGCTTATCTCAACTTAGCTTAGCTTATTTCAACTTAGCTTAGTTTAGTTTTGCCTAGCCTAGCCTAGCTTATATCATCTTAGCTTAGCTTAGTTTAGCTTTGCCTAGCCTAGCCTAGCCTAGCTTAGCTTAGCTTAGTTTAGCTTAGCTTGCTTAGCTTAGCTTGGCTTAGCTTAGCTTAGCTTAGCTTAGCCTAGCCTAGTTTAGCTTAGCTTAGCTTAGCTTATCATAGCTTAGATTACCGTAGCTTAGCGCAGCGCAGCATAGCGCAGTGCAGCATTCGCACAGCATAGCATAGCATTGCCAAGCATAGCATAGCATAGCATAGCTCAGCATAGCATAGCACAGCATGCATAGCATAGCATAGCATAGCATAGCATAGCGCAGCATCTCATAGCATAGCATAGCATAGCATAGCATTGTCTAGCATAGCACAGCGCAGCATAGCACGGCACAGCACAGCATAGCATTGCATAGCATAGCGTAGCTGTAGATGTTGATGTAGGTGTAGATGTATGTGTAGATGTAGATGTAGATGTGAGTCTCGCTGTTGATGTTGATGTAGATGTAGATGCAGGTGTAGATGAATCTGTAGCTGCCGGTGTAGATGTGGATGTTGCTTTCCTAAATGCTCCAACTCCTAGGTAGGGCCGCACTGTGATAATGTATTTATATGTGCGTATATCAGAGCAGGTATATTATGATCAGCGTGCTGTTGCATCAGTACGGTTGTATGTTTTGATGATGTGTAGACTTTAACAGATCGTAAACTCACACATGAGTGTTGCAATGCGGAGAGCATCTGGATGAAGGCGCTCCTTTTTTTTCCCAACCCTCCTTGGTTGGGTATCCGTTTTGAATGGAGCGCTGCTCGCGCGTCCTTCCTTCCTTCCTTCCTTCCTCCCGCCTCCTACCTCCCGCCTCCCGCCCCCCCCTCCTGCTTGTCTCCTCTTGCCGTCCCTGGGGGGCTGAGATCTGCGAAACGTTCGCCACTTTCGACGGCTGCTGGTGGGCCCAGCGGAGTGAGACACCTCGTGGATCTGAGCGGTAGCTCGCCGTCTTTGGGGGGTTGCGCTCTGCGAAATTGTCGCCTCTTTCGAGGGCTTCTGGTGGGTCCAGCGGAGTGAGGCACCGCGCGGATCTGAGCGGTAGCTCTCCGTCCTTGGGGGGTTGTGCTTTACGAAATTGTCGACTCTTTCGAGGGCTGCTGGTGGGTCCAGCGGAGTGAGGCACCGCTCGGATCTGAGCGGTAGTGCGCCGTCCTTCGGGGGGTGCGATCTGCGAACTTGTCGCCATTTTCGAGGGCTGCTGGTGGGTCCAGCGGAGTGAGGCACCGCGCAGATCTGAGCGGTAGCTCGCCGTCCCTGGGGGGCTGCGATCTGCGAAGTTGTCGCCATTTCCGAGGGCTGTTGGTGGGTCCAGCGGGGTGAGGTACCACGCGGATCTGAGCGGTAGCTCGCCGTCCCTGGGGGGTTGCGATCTGCGAACTTGTCGCCACCTTCGAGGGCTGCTGGTGGGTCCAGCGGAGTGAGGCACCGCTCGGATCTGAGCGGTAGTGCGCCGTCCTTGGGGGGTTGTGCTTTACGAAATTGTCGCCATTTTCGAGGGATGCTGGTGGGTCCAGCGGAGTGAGGCACCGCGCGGATCTGAGCGGTAGTTCGCCGTCCTTGGGGGGGTGCGATCTGCGAACTTGTCACCATTTTCGAGGGCTGCTGGTGGTTCCAGCGGAGTGAGGCACCACGCGGATCTGAGCGGTAGCTCGCCGTCCCTGGGGAGCTGCGGTTTGCGAAATTGTCGACTCTTTCGAGGGCTGCTGGTGGGCTCGCCACTTTCGAAGGATGCTGGTGGGCCCAGCGGAGTGAGGCACTGCGCAGACCTGAGCGGGGCCTCGCCGTCCTTGGGGGGGCCTGTCATGTTGTTGCTGCCCCGCCTACGTTTCAAGCGTATTGCCCACCGTCTCCTTTTGGACCTTGCGTCTTCCTTAGTGACTCAGGGGTTCACTTGGTTACTCATCGTGTTTCCCTTGATTGGGGACCTGCGAACCTTTTCGAATGCCGCTCGCAGAAGTGTATGCGTCCGTGTCCGGTCTCTCGTGAAATCTCCCTAGCTACTCCTGCCCCGCATTGCGCAGGGGTTGGGTACGTCGCCAGGGTAATGTGTTGTATTGTTATGTATGTTTATGATTTTTGTGAACAGGTATTTCTGGTGCCTCTCAGCACATGGTCCATCCGGGCCTGTCAAATAATGGGCCACCATATCCCTCTCTTATATCAAGAGTCGTTGCTGCATGTGCATATTGATTTGAGATCAGGCTGGGCACCACCTTGAGACCTTGAGTCGACAGTGCAGTCCACCAAACGCATCGTTCGCGTCCCACTCGGTATCGCAACTTTGCTTAGCTCACTGGGAGAGGCAACCCGTCAAACCTTCGGGCGGGTGGTAATGGGGGGTGACCTACATGGGGGGGTGAAGAAAAAGGCCCTACAGGGGACCCTTTAGGGCCCCTCTGGGACCAGCATTTGCTTCAAAAAGGAACCCCAAAGAGCCCCTATAGGGCCCTTCTCTTCACCCCCCATGTAGATCACCCCCCCATTACCACCCGCCCGAATCCCTCCCTGCTCTCGCCATGTCTGGGGCACAGGGCGAGCACGGCAGGCCCCGCTCCTCCAGGCCACGGGCATAACCAACACGAGGCCTCGCGGCCCTGCGATGATTGCCAGGCAGCTCGCGGGCCAGCGAAGGGGCACAGAGTTCGCGCCCGGGTTGCGAGCCAGGCGCCCGGGCTCTCGGAGATGGCCACCTCCTGGGCGTCTCAATCTCAGTATGACCGATGTCGCGCACGACTCGCGCTCCGTGTACCCACACGGTGTCACACGTGTGTACCGCCCCCCTATCCTCTACCCGACGGCACAGTTTGCCTGGCGTGTGCAGGGAAGAGGTGTCATACGTGTGCTGCGCCGCGTGCACCACTGACAGCCCGCTCGTGCGAGGCCTTGATTTCGGCGGTAGGACCTTGTGTCTGGGCTTTCATGGCGTCACTCTCGGATCATTCGCATTCCTCTTGTCCGCTCGCTCTCCACCGGTGTTTTCACTTCTGTCTTCGATTATCGGTCCGCTCCTGCCTTGCCGCCTGCACTTGAAAGAGCATGCATCTCGTCCCCTGCGCCACGAGAGTAGCTAAGCCATTCAGCAAGAATTGTATCTCGAACCATGGTTCCCGATTTCTGTCTGCGGCAGGGGAGGCTTACCCGAAGGATTTGTTCACGCACGTGCAAGTCCATCGCGCACATGGGATTTGGCGCAACGCCTACGCCTGAGTTCGCCGTTGCGCAGCATTGCGCAGATAACATGATCTCCAGAGAAGCAGCGGTTCAAGGACTTGCAGAGGTTCAGCTTCCGCGACAACTTGTGGACCGAGGTGAATCTTGGGCGAGTAGCCCCTCCAGGGCGAGTAGGGCATACAGCTGTGATCTTTGCCGGCAGGAGGGCGTGCTCTTCTGGCGCTCATCGCGCTTCTGCGCAAACACCCTGGGAGCAGTACGGTAGGCTCGTGTTGTGCCGATGCGGCTGCAACCCCGCCACGGGCGTTCAAGGTTGAGCGCCAGTGTCCTAGAATCAGGCAATATGCAACGATCTGGCGATCGAGAAGCCGCCGATCGTTCCATGTCCAACGATCCACGAAGTGTCAGGAACCAACGCCAGGGTCGTCACGACACGAAATTGCCGCATGCTCTCCCAGCGGCCAGCGGCGGACGGCACTCGATGCTACCCGCGAGGACGTGCATAGGGGGGGATGTCGGTTGAGGCGCTGGCGGGATGGCGCTGTGACGGTTCAGCGGGGCGCCCCAGCGTGGGACATGCAGCGTTCCGTCCGTCTGTCTTGCGAGGCCCGCGCCGCCCCGTCTGCATGATCGCCAGCTGCTTCTGGCAGCGCATTCAAACATTGTGTTGAAGTGCCGTCATGGCTCCGAGGGAGGGGGGACGCCTAGCAGGGAGCGCATGGCCTGACGGGCGTCGGCTACAAGTCTGTGCCTCTATTGCAGTGGGCTGTGGTCTTCTTCAGAATGTAGTGGGTTCTGCATTGAGTGCGGGATCGAGAGCGGGGTTCGAGAGAGGGGAGGAACCATGACCAAACATTTGTTTGATAAGCATGCGGGGGTCAGGTAGTCGTTGCCTGATCGCAACATATGAGGCAGCTGAGCGTCGGGCATGCATCGCCATGGAAGCAGGAAGAACAAAAAACGGCGTCAAGCATGTTTATGCCCGAGGCTTAGCTCGCGGGAAGGCGCTTGTAGACCAGGGAACTGTCAGCACGCACCCGAGATATCCTGGTGCTGCAATGTTTTCACACCAGGCACGTGTTTGCCCGATGTCGGTCCCTGGGACCCTCCACATACCGATGCCGCTCGAAAAAGGACGGAGGTAGGTGGGGTCCGGGGATCCGGTCGTGGTTTTGCACGATGTTGCATGTTTGTTCGCAGCGTCGGATCTCAGGGCTTTGCGCGGCTCCCTACAAAGCCGCGCACCATGATACCAAACAGCTCTCAAGTAGTGATTGCGCGATTGTTCCCCCTGGCTCGAGGACGTGCCTTGCGACTTCTAGATTCGAGCCTCGGCGGCTACGGCTTGCAGCGCACTCACGCAATGATGCATATATGCATGCCTGCACACCTGCAGCAACTCAGTGCAAATCATGTGCAAGCACGCGCTGCTTTGACAACGATGCCTAGCCGAGTTTTCTAGTCACACTTGAGTTAAGTTGTTTTTCACTCCTGGTCGTAAGTCGGGTATGCCCCTCTACAGGAGGGATACTCAAAACTAGTAAAAATAGTCAGGGGATGTTTTTGCCGATTATTGTTTGGCTGTGTCTGAGTATGGTTTGGCTATGCTTAAATTTGCATCAGAAATCCGCCTGCAGGAGGGCATGCCCGACCCAACTCTTGCCCATGGTCACTCTTGCGTGCGGGCGAGGGGGGCGTTCCGTGGGCGTTCTGGCCTGCGGGGCGGGCGGCTGCGGGTGGGGGGGGGCTGGGAGCGCGTGGGGGCCGTCGCCTGCGGGCGGGCAGGGGCGGAGGTTCTCGAGGTTCGAGGATCGAGTGTCTCGAGAATCGAGGGTTTGGAAGGTCGAGGGTCTCGAGGATCGAGGGTTCTCGAGGATCGAGGTCCTCGAGGATCGAGGTCCTCGAGGATTGAGATGCTCAAGGATCCGAGGGTCTGAAAGAGCGTGTTCTACCGCTACTGGCGAAAAACCGGGGGGGGTCACTACCGGTTCGAACCCCCCCCCCCCCCCCCCCCTCCGGAAAACCGGGGGGGTCACTGCCGGTTCGAACCCCTCCCCCCCCCCCCCCCCCCAGCTCATCATGAAAAGGGGGGGGGGTCACTACCGGTTCGAACCCCCCCCCCCCTCGAAAACCGAGTGGGGGTGCGGACAGTGGTGGGGACGGTGTTGGTGGGGACAGTGGTGAGGGGACAGCGGGACAGTGGTGGGGACAGCGGGGGGACAGTGGGACAGTGGTGGGGACGGTAGTGGTGGGGACAGTGGTGGGGACAATGGTGGGAACAGGGGGGACAGTGGACAGTGGTGGGAACGGTGGTGGTGGGGACAGTGGTGTGGGGACAGTGGGAATGAGGTGGAAACACTGGGACAGTGGAGGGTACAATGGTGGTGGAGACACTGGTAAAGGCGGTGGCGAGGACGGCGGTGGGACAATGGGACAGAGGTACAGTGGGGACAGTGGCGGGGACAGTGGGGACAGTGGTGGAAACAGTGGGACAGCTCAGTGGGACAGCGGAGGAGTCAGTGGGACAGTGGGGACAATGGGGATAGGCAGTGGTTGGGTCCGTGGAGACAGTGGGGAGAGTGGAACCGTGGTGGGAACAGTTGTGGGAACAGTGGGGACAGTGCGACAGTGGTGGGGGCATTGGTGGGGACAATAGGGACGGTGGTGGAACCAGTGGGGACAGTGGTGGTGAGGACAGTGGTGCTGGGAACAACAGTGGGGGATGTGATGCGAGCGGTGGTAGGGACCGGGAGTCGTTTGCTGGCGGTGCGTGGGGGGGGGGGGTCGAACCGGTAGTGACCCCCCTCCGGTTTTCGAGGGGGGGGGGGGGGGTCCCCCCGGTTTTCCGGATCCGGAGGGGGGGGGGGGGGGGGGGGGGGAGGGGTTCGAACCGGTAGTGACCCCCCCCGGTTTTCGAGGGGGAGGGGGGGGGGGGGAGGGGTTAGGGGAGGGGGGGGGTTTGCCGGGAGGGAGGGGGGGGG